GAAGACTGTTAGTGCGTCTTGAAGTCACGGTATCTAGGAGAAGGCCCTGAGTGCGTCTGTTAGATACACATATCGTGGATAAACGAAGGCCCTAGTGTGAGTTTATTCACAACCCGGAAATAGATAACAATGGCTGACTGCCGGCACGCTGCTGCCGCTGTGTGCGGGCAGCGTGTCCATGACCGGCCCTTGCCGGTCGTTCGACGACTTCTCTCGACCACTTCAACATGAAACAACATGATATAACATAAAATGATCATAACTACATAATCCCCTGAAATTGTACGAGAAAACTTGAACATGGCTCGGAAAAATGATTGTAGCGTGCGCAATGTTGCGACCCGACGCTACGGCCGATATGTTCGGCCATTTGACGACTCTTCCGACCGTTTCTCTCATGAATCAACATAACATACTATAACATGAATACTTATCAATAGAACGGCCGAATGAAATGAACATAACTCTAGAAATAAAAAGACATGGCTTCCGCTACGTGTGGTGCCCGACGGCTTTGGCCAACTTACGGCAAAACAATGATTTTCCTCGACAAACTTAATTTAGCTGAACATGAAATGACATATCTTGACTGGATAAACAAGAATTGCTCGAGATTTTCGGAATAAAACGAACATCGCTCGACATGGCTTAGTTCGTATGCCCGAGAGCGATTTTGAACAATTCATGGACTTAAACATAAGATTTGAACTTAGGATGAATATACTAACATCAGAATAACATAAAGAAAGAATTACCTCCTTAATAGCTCGAACAATAGTACGTGACTTCCGTGATTTCTCGTGACCGAGCGAAACTTGAACCCCTTGCGTGCATGTTAATTTGGAACTTGCGCACAAAATATTCTAACAATTGGCTTAACCACTCTATTAGCTCATAACTTATGCTTAGTCTTTTATCTTGAGTGTTAGGACCAATTTTTCCCATTCTTCACATAAATATAGATGAATCGAATGAAGAAAAAAAAGGAAATTATTCTAGCCAATGATTTCTTGCCAAATGCTTGATGTTAGGACTTAAAAAATGATTATTCATCTTCTAATAAGCTTAGTCATTGCTTAAGGTTTATAAAGAGGACACCTCATGCTTAGAGAATGATAAACTTCACATGACATTTGCCCTTTAAAAAACCCACGGCCTTTAGGATAAAATGAGCGTAGTTATGGTCGTTAATTAAGCACAACTTAACATGCTTAATTATTTAATAATGCTTGATTATTTGACTAAGCTTGGTACTAAATACTAAAATCAAATCTGAACATAAACGAAACTTCGAAAATAATTTCGAAGAATCTTGACTGGAATAATTAATTCCGAACGATAATAAACGATAAAATAATTATTTCGAAACTAAATGCGTAATTTACCTTAATAATATAACGGGCTATTACATGATGACTTAAACCGAATATCTTATCGATTAAAAGTCGAAATTTAACTGAAACTTGATAATTTGCGTGAACTCGACTTTTGACAATTAATCAAATATTCTTAATTCAATTAATATGTCAACATTAGAATAGTTAATCCCAACTCGCTGATGTCCATTTATTTAAATAAACGGACAGAGATTAATTTTTTATCATTGACTCGGTTAATAATTAAAATTAACCGGATATACTTTCGACTTAACGTCGAACATGGAACTTAATTAGCTGAATAACTTGGTCCTTGAACATTAACATGAATATTTATTAACAAAGGCTAGCTTATACTCGAAAGCTAGTATTTTCCTTTATTAATAAAATTCGGGGCATTACAAAAGCGATAACGATGAAGGTCCGTTGGAAGATGATAGTGAGCTGAAAGAAGCACTAGCTTTAATCGCGCGAAACTATGGGAAGATGAGTCAAAGGCTGTACAAGAACAAATTTTCTAGAAAAAAGGGGAACAGTTTCAGCAAGAATGTGGTGCAGGACAAGAAAAGTAGTATGCCACTCTCAAAATCCGACTCACAACGAGTCGAGAAGGATCAATGCAGGGAGTGTCGAGGCTTTGGACACTTCCAGTATGAGTGTGCTAATCTTAAGAAGAAGAATAAGTCACTGAAGGCAACCTGGGAAGATTCAGATGAAGAAGGTACAGACGAATCTTTGTTACACACAAGCAACCTGGTAGTTTATACCTCAGTCAAGAAGTTCATGTGTCTCACCACTTCTCATGCCCCGACCAAGTTTGAAGAAAGTTTGAAAGAAACTAAAGCATCTGAGGATGAAACAGATCAAAATGTGTGTGTAGATCCAGTTCACTTACTTGCTATGGAAAAGTGTGCTCAAGCATCTGAAGCTCTACAGAAGCTTCAAAATGAAGTGTTTAGACTTTCAAGAGCAAACAGGGTGCTGAACGAACAAGCATCTGTCTCCACTGCTACTAAAGAGTGTGAACTGGATACTGCAAAGGCACGAACTTGTATCCTTGAGAGTAGTGTCAAACTTGCTAAACAAGACGGACTGGAGAAGGCACAGACCATTGAATGCTTGAGGACCGAACTATTCTCTACTCAGAAACTTCTTGCTGAGCGGAATCAGGAAATCGTACTACTGAAAAATTAAGCTAGTCGGCTGATGAACGAACATGCTAGCATGGAAAGCAAACTTAAGGCAAATTCTGCTGAGTTGAACCGAACTGCAGAAGCTCTTCAAAAATTGAACAAGGGAAAAGCAGATCTGAATGAACTTCTTTCCTTGGGAAGACAACATGGTGATCTTACTGGAATAGGGTACACTGGTAGGGAAGACATTCCTGAGTCTTCAACTGGAGCTTCAAATACAAAACATACCGGTCTTGGATTTGGGGACAAACTTGGAGTTGGAGGCGTGAACCTCCATGGGAGACCTTCTAGAAACGTGTTTGACAAGTTTGTAAAAAGCACTGTAAGTAACCCTCTATCTCCACAATCTCCCTTGAAGGTTCATTCTCCCGTGCAGAAATCTGTTAATAAAACTCACTATAACTTGGTTCCTATCTGTCATTACTGTGGTGTAACCGGTCACATAAGACCCAAATGCTATAAAATGCAGCATGATCTTTGTACAAGTAATGTTAGGGGTTGGAATTAGTCTGGCATTCCAGTGAAGGTCCATTCCAGGATCCTCTCAAATAACCGTACCAAAACTCATCAAGTGTGGGTTGGTAAGAAATCCTTCAACTGTTTTGCTCCTGTTCTGTCTCTCAGGACCTCCCTGAAAGGTAAATGGTATCTGGACAGCGGCTGCTCTAGACACATGACTGGTGAACCTTCATACTTGATGAACATTCAGCCAGTTCAAATGGGGAAGTCACATTTGGTGACGGAGTGAGCAATCAGGTTATTGGAACTGGTTGTTTAAATTTGGGAGGAATACCTAAACTAACTGGTGTGTTACTTGTTGATAAGCTAAAGGCAAATCTTTTGAGTGTGAGTCAACTCTGTGATCAAGGCCTTAGTGTCAGTTTCTCATGTGATAAGTGTTATGTGAAAGACAGTGAAGGTTCTTGTGTGCTTACAGGTTCTCGTTCAACGGATAACTGTTATCTTGTTTATGTTAATGAAAAATGCCTTTTCTCAAGTGTGAGCGAACCTAAAATATGGCATCAACGCTTAGGGCATATTGAATACTCTCACCTTGTCAAATTGACCAATACAGGTGTAGTCAGGGGTGTTCCAAAGATTGTTGTGAAGGACCAGCCAATTTGTGAACCTTGTCAACTAGGTAAGAAAACGAGGACATCCCACAAGTCACTGAACCATATTGCATCTAAACAGATCCTAGAGCTTCTTCACATGGATCTCATGGGTCCCATACAGGTAGAAAGCTATCAAGGTAAAAAGTACATTTTTGTGTGCGTTGATGATTTCTCTCCGATATACTTGGGTTGATTTTTTGCGTGAAAAGTCTGACACATTCTCTGCCTTTAAGTCACTTTGTTTGAAGGCTCAAACTGAGAAAGGTTTTTCCATAATAAGTATTTGAAGCGATCATGGAAGTGAATTTGAAAATTCTGAGTTTGCTGAATTTTGTGATTCTCTGGGTATTAGTCATGAGTTCTCGGCTCCTAAAACTCCTCAGCAAAATGGAGTTGTTGAAAGGAAGAATCGCACTCTACAAGAAATGGCCAGAGTCATGTTGAACTCAAAAAACATTTCTTCCAGATGGTGGGCTGAGGCAATCAATACAACATGCTACCTCGTGAATCGTGTGTACCTTCGTCGAGGTATTAGTCTGACTTCATATGAACTCTGGAAAGGTAAGAGTCCTAACCTCAGTCACTTGCATATTTTTGGGTGTAAATGTTTTACCTATAATGATCGTGTCCAACTTGGGAAGTTCGATGCAAAATCGGATATTGGATTCTTTCTTGGTTACTCTAACAATAGTCGAGCGTATCGTGTTTAAAACACAAGTACCTCCACTGTGATTAAGTCCATAAATGTAATCTTTGATGAAAAAAATTCTCAAGTTAGTTCTTCTGTATCCTTTAATCAGTTTGAAAATGTCGAGGCATTGCAGGATACTCAGGTTGTTAAGAGCTCTACAGACAAGAAGATAACTGAACCTTCTGTTGAGAATGCTGAAACATCAACTGACTACATTGTCCCTGCAACCCAAGAAGGTTCTGAGTTACCTAGGCGTGATCCTCCCTTAAGGGTTCAGAAAGACCATCCACCCGAGCAAGTCATTGGTGACATAAACGAGAGAGTTACTAGGAACTCGAAGACGTCAGTCAAAGAACTTATGGGTGTCTCTCATTATGCTTGCTACACCTCACTCCTTGAACCTAAGAATGCTAAAGAGGCCCTGAAAGATGAGTGCTGGATCTTAGCCATGCAGGAGGAACTGAAACAATTCACTAGAAACGATGTCTGGGAGTTAGTACCTAAACCTTCCTCGGGAAATGTTATCGGAACCAAGTGGATCTTCAAGAACAAAACTGACGAGTTCGGGAATGTGACACGGAACAAGGCGAGACTAGTTGCTCAAGGCTACACTCAGACTCAAGGGATTGATTTTGATGAAACCTTCGCCCCCGTTGCTAGACTTGAATCGGTACGCATATTTATATCTATTGCATGTCTAATGAAGTTCATTATGTATCAGATGGACGTGAAGTCTGACTTCCTGAATGGGATATTACATGAAGAGGCTTACGTGAAGCAGCCAGAAGGATTCAAAGATCCCAAGAATCTGAATCATGTCTATAGGCTTAAGAAAGCATTGTACGGACTAAAGCAAGCGCCTCGTGCGTGGTATGAACGCCTTACCATGTACCTTCTGGAAAAGGGATTCAAGAGAGGAGAAGTAGATCAGACATTCTTTGCTCTTCGAACAAATGAGGACCTATTAGCCGTTCAAATCTATGTTGACGACATCATCTTTGGATCAACATCCAAGAAGCTGGTCAATCACTTTGTGAAACCTATGTCGTCTGAGTTCGAGATGATTCTGGTCGGTGAACTTTCATACTTTCTTGGACTTCAGGTAAAGCAAGGTAAAGACGGTATTTTCTTACATCAGGGTAAGTATGCAAAAAACCTTGTTAAAAAGTTTAGTCTTGAAAATGCTAAATGTCCTCAAACTCCCATGGGCACTCATGTAAAAGTGTCCAAAGATGATGAAGGTACACTTGTTGATCAAACTCTATATAGAAGTATGATTGGTAGTCTTTTATATCTCACTGCTAGTAGACCTGACATTTGCTTTAGCGTTGGATTGTGTGCCAGGTATCAGGCTGCCCCCAAGGAATCACATATGAAAGCAGTCAAACATATCATAAAGTACATTGAAGGTACAACAGAGTATGGTCTATTTTACTTTGTTGATACGAACTTACATCTTGCAGGTTATTGTGACGCTGACTGGACTGGAAATCCTGATGATCAAAAAAGCACCTCTTGTGGGTGTTTTTACATAGGATCAAACTTGGTATCTTGGTTCTGCAAGAAACAAAACTGCATCTCCCTTTCTACTGCTGAAGCCGAGTACATTGCCGCTGGAAGCTGCTGCTCACAGTTGGTACGGATGAAATAGATTTTATCTGAGTATGGTATGAACGTTCATTCGGCTCAACTTTTTTGTGACAACACTAGTGCAATAAATATCTCAAAAAATCATGTCCAACATTCTCGTACCAAGCATATTGACATTCGGTATCATTTTAATCGTAATTTGGTAAAAGATGGAATTATCGTGTTGGATCATGTACCTACAGATGATCAGCTTGCTGATATTTTCACCAAAGCTCTTGATTCGAAACAATTTTTGTCCCTGAGAAAATCTTTAGGAATGTGTGCTATATAATCTATGTGCATTTTGTCAGTTGCATTTATATATATATATATATATATATATATATCGTGTCTATTGCATATAGGATCTTTTCTATTTTTTAGGCATCTTAGTATGTAGGTTCATCCCTGGAATTCTTTTCTGATCGTTTATTGTTAAGTTTGTTGGTTGGTGGTCTGTGAATTCTAATTGGTCAGTTTGTAAGAGCTCTTCATGATGACCATTTTAATATACTTGTAAGAGCTGCTCTCGTGAAAATAGGCATCGTGCAACTATCACATGAGGTGCTTCCTTGATCACCTGTGAAACGAGTTACGTGTCTAATAATAATCGAGGTGTAATAGCTACAGGTAATCATTCTAAGAATGAATGTTCTCTGGTGAAATAAGGTTGGCCATTCTGATATCTTCTCAGCTTGTTCAAAATTAAAACTTTTTGCGGGATGATTCACACCTCAAGTAATGGGCTTGACATTGGCGTATAGTTGATGTTAATGAGTGAATTGGTGTAAAAGTTCATAGAACGGAGTAAGTTCATCATAAGTATTGGGGCTGAATTGCGGACGAAAATTTCGTTTTTTGCTAAGAGAAAGTGATGAACGAACTTATATTAATTCCGTGTTGTATAAAAGTGGGAGCAATAAGGGCTGAGTTGTGCTCGAAGAGAATTTATTTTTCTCATCATCTTGTTAGTTTCGAGCTCATCTCAAATTGATTTGGGAAGATCTGTGGGTCAATCAATTAATGAATTTTTTCAATATTCATGAAAAGAAAATTCTTGGGTATTGCGTGATAAATATCTTATTTAGGCATGTGCATTGAAATTTTCTCTGTGATATATATTGTTTCAGATTTATGCCTAAATTATTTTTAGTACGTGATTTAATAATATTCTCGTCTGAAACTTCATGCGGTATATATATGGTAACCATGTTGCAACTTGGTAACAAATCTTTTTGTTTTGGAGAGAACGGTTTTGTAGCTTGCACTAAGTGTTGGTCAAATTTGAATTTCAAATCTGCCGAGTCGAACCGTCTTCAAACCAACCTCGATAACTGGAATTACGGTTCCGTATATCAATCATACCACCTTTTGCATTTTCCTCTCATATCTATTTCAATCTTTTAATTTTGTTATCTCTCCCAACTGCTCTAACATTCC